AGCTCTGAAGGTTTTGGGGGAGTGTACTCTTCCACGCGTGTTGTGGGTTTTCAAGCCCTGGCTGCTACGGTGGGCAGCTGCTCTTCTTAGTCACTCCGTCTGCATTTTGCAGCACCGAAGTGAAAGAAGGCGGAGGGAGCCTTGGGAGACCCGAGCCTCCTTCCTCAGATGCAAGAGGTGGAGTTGAGAGTCCAGGGGCATTGCTTTGAGCCAGAGCAGTTCAAGCTGGGCCCAGCTGCGTTGTTTCTGCAGCGCTGGTTGCAGCCTGAGAGGAAGGGAAAGAAAGAAGCTGGGAGCAGGAGGAGCTTTGCTAGACCTCAGTGGACCTCCAGGTCTGTTTCTGATGCATCTGGGGAAGTAGGTCCAGATCTAGGAAGAAAGCTCAGGCTAACAACTTGTTTTAGTCTTAAAGATGCTGCAAGATCCCTTTGCATACGGATTTTTCCAAACTTACAGGCTAGGTCTTCATAGTTACTGTAACCATGTTGGTTTGCAGAGGAGAGCTCTGTAGAGTTAGGTTCCCTCTCCTAACTCAGCTAGAGGGGGAGACAGAGGAGGAAAACCTGTGTTTGTGTATACACACACACACACACACACACATATGCATGACCTTTCCTAGAGTTAAGTGTACTACCTCAGATGCATTTGGAATATCTATGTGTGTGTGTGTGTGTGTGTGTATATATATATATGTGTGTGTGTGTGTGTGTATCTATATATGTATATATATATATATATATATATATATATACACACACACATACACATACATGCACATATGTACTATATATGTGTATTATATAGTACACATAATGTGTACGTGCATGTTTGTGTATGTGTGGAGAGTATATATATATATATATATATACACACACACACACACACCGTATATATAGTACACACATATATATAGTGTGTATGTGTATGTGTGGATACGTTATTTATAGATATATAGATATAGTATACACATATATAGTGTGTATGTGCATGTTTGTGTATGTATGGAGAGTGTGTATGTGTATATAGCACACATAGTGTGTATGTGCATGTACGGAGAGAGAAAAGTTGGTAGCATGAGTTTTGGTAGACTTGAGCCTACTTCCTCAGATGCATATATATATGCATGGAGAGAGTATATATAGTACACACATATAGTGTGTATGTGCATGCATGGAGAGAGTATATAGTACACATATATAGTGTGCATGTGAATGTTTGTGTATGTATGGAGAGAGTATATATAGTGCACACATATAGTGTGTGTGTGTGTGTGTATATGGAGAGAGTATATAGTACACATATATAGTGTGTGTGCATGTTTGTGTACGTATGGAGAGAGTATATATAGTGTACACATATAGTGTGTATGCGTGTATGGAGAGAGTATATAGTACACATATATAGTGTGCATGTGCATGTTTGTGTATGTATGGAGAGAGTATATATAGTACGCCCATATTTAGTGTGTATGTGAATATATGGAGATGTGCATGTATGGAAAGAGAGAGAGAAGCTGGTAGCATGAGCTTTTGTAGACTTGAGCCTATTTCCTCAGATGCATTTGGACTATATTATATATATATTTGTGTGGGTGAGTGGGTGTCACACGATGGATGCGAGGGTCCCAGGGCGTTGTTGCTGAGGGTCAGGAGGGAGCCCAAGGCCCCTCTGGAGGGAGGCCCAGGGAAGCCTGCAACCTTACACCCCCAAAGACAAGGCAAGGGCAGGGCAGGGCGTGTGGGGCAGCCAAGCCGGTTTCTCTTGGGTTGTGTGTGCAAAAGCAGAGAGCAAGACTTGTGCTCCTTTCGGGAGGGGAGAGATGTGTTTGCCCCTTTCTTTCTGCTCGGGGTCCTCCTCCT